GTGTCTCCTGTACATTTTGGTTGACCTATCCAGTATCATCTCTATAAAATTCTCATTGAGTACTTGTAGTATGTCTTCTTTTAAATTATTCTTGTGGGCTTCATTGGGTCCTTTGGCATAGTTTATCTTCATTTTGTTGGAGTCTGGATCTGAGTTTCTGTTTCTTCATTCCCCTCTGGTTCCTGTACTAATTTTTTGCTGTGGGGAAACTGGTTTCCTTGTTTTTTCTGTCTTCCTGTCATTGTCCTTGGTGTTGTTACTGTCCCTGTACTGTGTGTAATTAAGTATTTTTCTAGCTTGTAATAATAACAATGGTAATATTGAGAATGGCTGAGTGATGAGATGGAAAGCAAGAAGTTAAAGAAAAGGGGAAAACAAATACACAGACAAGAGGGAGAAAGCAGAACAAGGTATCAGACAAGAGAGTTTCAAAGGTATAAACAGGGAGTGTTAGTGTACTAATCGACAGTAAGCTGGTCCGCGTCTTCCCACGCCGTATGGGCGCCGGCCACTGGCGGCCCGGGGGCCTCCTTGGTTCTCCGTTTAACGTGAAGTGGAGATTCTCTGCGCCGGCTGGAGATGTGGAGGAGTCAAAGTTATGCCTTTTCTCAGTGATTATGCCTGCAAAGTGTGTCTCCAGCGTCTCTCCAAGATTTCACTATAGGAGGGTCGCTTTCTGCTTCCTACCTCTAGCCGCCATCTTGGAATTCTTAGATAGTCCCATTGCTGGAGAAATGTGTTCTCAGAGGTTTCTGGAGGAAGTATGGGAGGACAGAAGATGACCATATAACCCAGAATTGAGAGGAAGGTGGTGGTGTAAGTGTCTTAAAGGAGATGATTCTTATACTGTGTTGTTATACATTCATGTGGTTGGGCGTAGAGTTGGAGGGAAAGGTATGTTTGCTGGTTGGAGATGGCAGAGCTTGACATATCCAAGGCTATGCAGGGAATTTGGGGGACCATGCACAAATGCAGCTAGATGTGCAGATCTGCAGTTCCTGTTGGGAATGTGGCATAGATCTGGGGAGGGGAAAACCACTAGACAAATATCTTTCCTAGGAAGTGTTATTATTCCTAGGAATAGAGCCTGGCAATGTGTCCTCTTGGACCAAGGTTCCTTGCTTCCCTGGAAAATGCACCCACCAGCATCAAGACAGTGTAGACCACTGAAGTGGAATGGACCAAGAATGAAAGGATATGGGAAGAGAGTTCTCTAATTTTGAGCAGGTTTTTTTTAAAATAAATTTTTATTAGGATATATTCATTCTGTAGTGGGGGATTCGTAGTGACAATTTCGATTAGTCTTATATTGAACATTATTTACATTGCCTCCATCGTCTCTCCCCTCAGCCTTCTCCCCACCCATTTAAAACAACTGTAAGAGGTTTCTTAGTTCTGTTTCATATAGGTATATGAAGTCCATCAACCATATACCCTCACCTTAATTTCCTTCCTTCACCCTCCCCTTCCACATTACCTCCCCTCCCCCTGCACATACTGTGCCTATTTTACAGTCCTGGTTTTCAATATTAATGTTTGAGATGACATTCAATGGGGTGTCTCAATGTATGCCACTGTGGATGTGCTTTACTTTGGTCTGTTCAACCCCTTCAAATACTCTCCCTTATTCCTTTAAAGCAGTTTTTTAAAAAATCATTTACTCTTCCTCTTGGTTTCCCAGAAATGACATGAAAATATAAGAAAACAGTGAGTGCAAATAAAATTTAAAAAGTGAGTGAAGTTTACTCATGTGTGGGTTTGTATAACTTTTCCTTTCCCCAGCCCTTCTGCTAGTCATACCTTGCTTTAAGGCTTTTTGCTTCTTATTCACCCTCAACCTGAGCTGGTATTTTCTGCCTGGCCACTGATTATGTTTCAGAATCTCCATGCCATTATACAGTGATTGCAGGGCAGTCCTTCCCTGTTGGTTCATAGCCAAAGTTCAGAACCTTGGGTGAGTGGTGATTAGGGACAGGGAATAAAGGATGAGGGCAGGGGTGTGGAAGGGGATGTGGACACAACAGGGACCTGGAGGGAGATCTGAAAGGAGAATAACAGGGAGAGTGGTTTTCAGTCTATACAATCAGGTAGTCTTCCCCTCATATTTATCCCATGTCTTTAAAAAAGCAAGTCCATTTCACAAGATACATTTAAGTAGTAACAGTCTTTCCAGGTTTATTAACTGACTAATAAGAGCATCAAATGAAAGAATGTGATTTTGAAGTATTGGAATGAACTCTTGAATCTCCTTACTCTACATGAGCACTTCTATAAATGCACGTTCTCTAGGATGGACCCCTCTGCAATAAAGTCAGACTATTTAGGTTTTATCAGTGAGTGAAGATACAGTAAATAATCACTATGAACACAGCAAACAAAGGTACTAACTTGGAATTTTTTGTAGGTTTCTTACTTTGAAAAATTCTGAAGCACTTTTAATTGAAAACTGGTTCCAAGGTAGCGTCCTGAGGGTTTGGGAGAGGGCAGTGACAAATTTGGAAAGTTAGGATTAGAGTGATTGAGTGACTTTCCTGATACTCTTGGTCCCAAGCCAAGTCTCAAGAGCGGGGGGGGGGGTGAGAAATGACCCAAACATTGTATGCACGTACGAATAAAAAAAAAGAGTGAGCAGCACTTTGAGATCACCGTAATGAGGAGTGCCCAAGAGTAGAGCTGGAGAAATAGACACACTGTGGTGTGAGAGTGCAGGTGGATTGGCTGTGTGGAGGTCGGGAGTCTGCCTTTAATTGTTGGTTTAGGATTGTTTTCAAGTAGTGATTTGAATTTCAGTTTTTGGGGTGATGTAGAAGGTGAGTACTCAAGGCCTAAGAATGCAATGTTCTTTGTAGAAAACATTATCAGCCTGGAAGACACTATAGAACCCTCTCTAATCATCTCATTTTATAAATCAGGAAACCAACATGTAAAGAGGTAAATAGGATGGGGGCGTGGCTCACACAATAAAGAGCTTGCAGGAGGCCCTGAATTCAAGCCCCAGTACACAAACAAACAAACTAAGAGGGCAACAGATTTGCCCAGTGTAATGTAGCAAATGGCACCCCTGCGACTCCAACTCAAGTCTTTTCAGTCTAGGACTGTTTCTCTGGATTGTGTCTTTTCCAGGCAGGTTTCAGGCATTCTGCCAGCCAGTATGAATGGGCTCACACAGCCACATAATCGCACATTAATCCTGATTGTCCTCTCCTGAGTACCCTTGCTCTCGGGAAGTCCTGTAACTAAGGAAATGGTCTTAAAAGCAGCAGGTGAGGGTCTCAAGCATAACAGATGTTCAAGTCAGTGAAGGCCAGGGCTACAGGTGGGACTGTCATAAGGTAGGATTGGGAGTGGGGATGGGGTAATCAGGGAAAAATTCTCAACATAGAAGGGCCACCCAATGTTTAGAACAAGGAGTGCAAACAGATTAGCTGAGGGAGAAGTACATGAACTGAAAGTAGTCTTTATTAACTCCATTCCAACAAAGTGAAAGAAAGTTCATGAGAACCAAGGTTGTAGCCAAACTTGACAACTAGCAGTTCTGGCAGGGTATTTCCAATTCAGCTGCTGATATATAAGCCAGACACAAAGTCCCTTTTCTCATCTACTTGTTTCTGTTCCCTTGATTGTAGATATGGCTCCCAGTGGTTCCTGTTTCGTAAGCTGGGATTTCATAAAGGGAAGGGGAAAGGAAAATCACATCCAAGAATATGAGAGATATCTCAGTAATGGACAAGGGATAGTGTTCCGAGTAGTGAGGTGATGGGAGGGTGCTTTGAAGGAGATGAGAGTAGTGTTAATAGCTGCAGAATGAGAAGGAGGGTGCTATGAAAAGAAGCTGGTCATTTGGCTCCTAAATTCTCTTTTGAGTGAGACAGTGGGCTGACTTCTCTTTGGGAGAAATGGCAAGAAGTGAGGATGGGCTTTATAACCCATAGGTGTGGTAAGATTCGGAAACAGAGAAATATTTCCAGAGTTCTTCTTCTTCTTCTTCTTGTTTTTTTTTTTTGATGATACTGGGGTTTGAACTCAGGGCCTCACACTTGCTAGGCAGGTGCTCTTATTGCTTAAGCCATTCAGCCAGCCCCATTTCCAGAGTTCTTAAACTTAAGCTTCCCTCTTCTCCCAAAGGAGAGTTTCACAAAACTAGTTTATCTTGTTAGTGATCTAATACATTGCCCTAAATAAGAAAGAATATATGCACTATGAAGAGAACCTGGAATGAGAGTGATGTTTAACAAAGAGGAAAGACCCTCCAATGAAGAAATACTTGTAGCATCTAGTTTGAGAAGCTATTTTTGAATGGAGTAATAAGGAGGTTCTCTCAGGCTTTACAGAGGTAATCTCCATTTTGCATAATTTTCCAGTAATTTAAGTAAAACTTAGATATAGCCCCTCCCTTCTTTGAGTGAGGTACTACTCTAATTAAAAGAGGTCATATTCTATAATAGATATAAAACACAAGAAATATAGAGTAACAAATAACACTGAACAATAGCATCACTGTAATATGTAAGTTATTATAAAGCAGTAGAACATAGAAAGAAACTAACAGTACAGAAATTATATGCCTTAACCAGGATTTGCATCTAAAGTAGTCACAGAAGGCATCCTAATGGCCATGACTATCTTATGAGGCTACCAGGTCTTGGAGTTATTTTCAGAATCTGGTGTACATCTTTTGAAAGTCTGTAGTTGGCTTTATTTTTGACATCTGACAAACTTTATCTGGAAAAGAAAGGCAGGTAAATAAGGTAAAAAATTAATTATATTTTGAGATAGATGAGAGATACGGCTCAAAAGGAATGACACTAACATTCGTATTTGTGTTATAATCTGGGAATTCCAAAAAAGAAGTTATAAGAGAGGGAGGAACCCAGATTATTGGAAAGGAGCTGGAGGGCCAGACAGGCAGTGGAAGGGTAGGAACAACTAAGGTGAGGATGCAGGGGGTGTAAAAGGTGGGAGACATTCTAGGCAACTGTCTCTTGGCTTTTTTTGCCCAGGTGGATGTCCATTCTGAGAAAGGGGCATGTATGACCTTTGAAGTCAGCCTGGATGACAAAGTGAGGAAGATCAACAAACACATCAGGTCTAAGACCAAGGTTCCTGTGCAGGACCAGGTTCTTCTGCTGGGCTCCCAGACCCTAAAGTCTGAGAAAAAGGTGTTGTCTTATGACCTCGACAAGGAGACTTCCATCCACCTTACCCTGAAGGTAGTGAAGCCCAGTGATGAGGCGCTACCCTTGATTCTGGTGGAGTCAAGTGATGAGGGGCAGAGGCACCTCCTCCGTGTGCGAAGAGCCAACTCAGTGGCCCAGGTGAAAAAGATGATTGAGGATGTGACTGGTATAACATCTGAGAAACAGATTGTGACTTGCAATGGAAAGAAACTGGAAGATGGGAAGATCATGGAGAATTACAACATCACAAAGGGCAGTTTGTTCTTCCTGGCCAGGCATTGCATTGAGGGATGACTACTCTGGGGATGGGGTGATATCAGGAGCAAAAAGCTTATTTCCTTTTGGCTCTTACTTACAAACCACATCTTTTGATGATTTACCAAAATTAATGAGAATGATATAGAGTAAAATTTGGGGTGGGGAGGGTAAAATAAAGAATATTTTTTAAATCTGTAATTCTTTGGTCCTTACATAATTGATTAAGTGAAGAGGATTGTTTATATTACTGAGAATAGAAAATACAAAAAAAATTGAGATAGGGTCTCACCCTGTAGCCCAGGATGGCCTTGAACTCAAGGTACTCATGTCTCAGCCTTCCGAATGCTGGGATTACAGGAATGTACCAACACACTTGGCATAAAATAAAAAAATAAGGCACATTATGGACAGTATTCAAAGCTGGCTTGAAATTTAATTCTTTCTTTATACATTCTGATAGAAAAACTCCTATTTCATTTCCTACAGGATAAAATAGTAAGTTTTAGGTTGGGATTCATGTTCTACTAATTTTTGTGTTTCTATATTAAGCTCAGTGCTTCATCTATAATATCACATAATTGTTGAGCCAAATTAGATTTCTACTTATAGGGGATATTGAAATGATTTATTATGAAATGAATTTTTTACTCCAACTTGATCACAATCTAATAAATAATTGAGAAATTCATTCAAACTACTTCTTTTCTTATTTAAAGAGGCTTGATAGGAAATGAAATCTGGCATGGCACCTCTTCTTATCCTCTATATCCCAAACCCAGTTAAAATTGTTCTTATTTCTGGGGGTAGACATATTTTCCATGGGGATCTAGAGATTTTTGTGTCTCTAGTGGAGTCTCCTTTGGGGTAGATATACTTCAGGAGGGAACAGAATTTCTGAAAGGTAGGGATTGTGGACCAGTCCCTGCCCGGCCTTTGGATCTAGCAAGTTTTCTCTAGATCAGGGGCATCTCTTTGGGTAAGGGAGGCAAGGAGTTGGCTTCTAGGTTTACCCCAACCCTCTGTTACAGTTCTTGCTGAAGGAACATTTTCTTGTCTGCTTCTTTCATCATACCTGCTCCTTTTGGGAACTTGGGTCCCTTCCTCCATCTTCCTCCATCTATTTACTCTCTGTCTCACTGTCCCTCTCCTAGGTTTCACTACTGGTGAATCACATGTAGGTTTCTCTCACAGACTGGGACATGTCTGTTTTCTTTCCCACCAGTTCTGGTTCATTCTCTTGTTCAAGAGCCATCCCACAGGTGGGATTCCCAATTTAACTCCACTCAGCACAATTCCCCATGCAAGGCATTCCTCCTACACTTATGGGTCAAATGCTCTGTAGTGGGCACTGGTCAGCTGGCTAGGTCTGCATTAGGCTGGACTGTTTTTCCAGGAATGGAGGCCATGCCCCCTTTTCCTGGATGGAGTCTGCTGCAGAGTAGGGCCTATGGTTTCCTTGTTAACTTGAGGGACCTTTGATGGCTGAGACCATGGGATTTTCCATGGACTTCCATCAGACTGAGAGAAAGCTAAAAGTAAGTGTCATGTTGCACATCATCTTTCCTGTATGTGGAGTCTTAAGGGGTGTGGTTACAGTTACCTCCTCAGGATGAGAAAGCCTTCCATCCCATTACATTTCCTTTCTTCATTAGCTTAGTAGAAGGCCCAAGGCCTTTTTACCGACACCTCCCCCCCACCGTGTGTATGTGTGTAAAGGATTCAGGGATTTGCCCTCAAGAATCTGAGCACTACCTGATAGGAAGAAGGAATCTCCCCAATTCACCCTGGACTCCATGAGGACAAATATTGCAGATTCTCATACAAAAATGAACAGCCTGAATAAAGGCTAAGCTGACTGATTCTCCACTAGGCATTTCCATCCTTGGGCTCTGGGCTAAATTTTCTTTCCCTTCCCAACTCTCTCACTGTCCGACCTGCCCTCTCCAGAGACTCCCGAGGAGTTTCCTCGCTGCCCTTTTCACTTCCTTATTCCTGAGCGTGTAGATGAGCGGGTTAAGGGCTGGCGTGACTACGGTGTAGAAGAGTGAAACGAACTTGCCCCGTCCCTGGTTGTAGCTGTGCGTGGGTTGCAGGTAGGTGTATATGGCGGAACCATAGAAAAGGCATACCGCTGTCAGGTGGGAGCCACAAGTGCCCACCGCTTTTCTCCGGCCTCCGCTGGACCGCATGTCCCACACAGCGCGTCCCACCGCCCCGTAAGAGGCCAGGATGACGATGGTCGGCACCAGCAGGATGACCACGCGGGCGGCGAACATCTGTCGTTCGATGGTGTTTCTGCCGCCGCCGCAGGCCAGCTTGAGCAGCGCTGGCAGCTCGCAGATGAAGTGGTCCAGCTGGTGGGGCGCGCACAGAGGCCGCGCCGCCAGGAGCGCGGTTTGCGCGGCGGAGTTGGTGAGGCCGCCGAGCCAGGCGGTGCCGGCCAGCGCGCGGGCAGAGGTGGGCGAGGCGAGCCCGGTGTAGCGCAGCGGGCGGCACACGGCGCCGCGCGGTTCCAGCGCCATCACCGCCAGAGGACGCACTCGGCCGAGCCAGAGCCAGCCGACGCGTTACAGCTGGCCATGCAGCCGCCGCGGGGCAGGCAGAGCGCCGGGGCCGCACCAAGGTTGACCACAAGCGCGGCACCACGCTCGTGGTGAATCCCGCGTCCACCAGGGCAGGTGGCAGAGGAATAGTAGACATGGGCCTGTGCAGGCTCGATTCGCGCACTGCCAGCAGCACAAGCACGGAGTGTGCCGGTCAGGAGTCAGGAGGTAGCAGAAGAGGACAAGGGCGAAGAGAAACCGGCGTGTTAGGGAGGGCCAGTCTGAGAAACCAAGCAGGAGGAAAGCGCCTCTCTGTTGCGCTGTGGTTGACCTAAAGGAAGGAAACTTACAAGGAATGTGGAAGGATGAAATAAAAAAAGGATTTACACTACATTTTTACAGCGGAAGAAAAAAACCCGGGAATGTTGGGGATTGAACTAGGGAGGAGAGAAAAGCACATGCAGTAACTTATAGATTCGACTTCCCATTTACATAGTGAACCCTAAGGTTACTAGCCCTAAGGTTAGTAAGTCACACGCTTTGAATTATATATATTTATAGGATCCTGTGAAGGGAAGAGAATCTATTTTATGAAATTAATTAAATCATTGCTTGAGAAAGCGCTAATTATGTGTACTAAGGCCACAACGATTCAGAGGTTCCTATGACCCTGTTCCATTAGGTCTGTCTGAGTTCAAAAATCAGTTACTTTTCAGTTGGCTTCCTAGTCTGATTGTACTCCCAGGAGCCAAGAAAGAAATTTAATGTTTGTCCACTTAATATGACAGCACTTAGATACTTGCAGCCCAGATTTCACTCTGAGCCTCCCTTTTTTCCCCAACTTTCCTTGGAAATGGTGAGTGCTAAAATTAGGACAATATCAAAGCTTTGTGCTAAGTAAAAGTTCAGAATTAGCAACTTGCTTGTTTTAGGGAGTTCCACTTTCTATTTATGGCAAAACTATTAAATTCAAAATGGAGCTGAGCTAGGAGAATTCCTGAGCAGACAAAACCATAGTGACTTAACTTTGCCTCAATTGTCAAACATTAATGAATGTCATTTGAACTATTTCTTGTAAATGCTAATATTAAAAGGAAAACTGAACCACTTAAAGCAAGCCAACACATTATATAATTGAGGGTCTTTTCAATGGACAGACCAAATACGGCAGTTCGGGAACCAATTACATATGTTGCCTACTTTCTAGTTTGTCCTATGAAAATCTTCATCCTCTTCTGTTACTCTGGCTCTCCCCAAGTTGGAGTGCCCAATTAAATTTAAACAGCTAAATTTAAAAAATTCTGTTGTGCTTCAGTTTACTTTTTTTTCTTGTTATTGGGAATTGAACCAAGGACCCTGGTTTATTGCTAAGCATGATCTCTACCACTGAGCTACAGTTCCCTTTTTAACACATACCATTATATTGTGATACTGATGTCTAATCTGGTGGACAGAGAGACTTGCTTGCGATTGTTGTGTCCCTCCTGCGTGTAATGGCGAGTGATCAGGACCAGATGAAGCACCTGCATTGCTAGCCAAGAGTCAGGCTGGAAGACCCAGAAGGAGAAGACCTGAGGTCCCAGCTGGCAGAGTTAGGTATTGATATGGGAGTTGCTTCATGTTCCTTCTGCCTCAATTTCTCACATGTAAATTGAGGAGTTTGAACTATATGGACTTTTAGGCTCCTGTCTATCTCCAGGCTGTTACTATCAATTGTTCAAACAAATTGAAAAGGGAATGGGGTGGGTGAGGGAACACAAAAAACAGAACTTCATTTCTTTAAGGGGCCTTTTAAACCTTGAAAATGATGTTGAATCAAGTATCTTACGCGATAAAACCATTCATAGTTTGATGGTGATGATGAAAATTTACATAGGAAATCTTTCTACTGCATGTTCCGGCAGATCTCGTGTATATAGATAACTTTATTTTTAAAGACATCAGATTCATTGCTTTTAAGAAACCCACATCTTTTTTTTTTCAGGAAAAAATGCTCCCTTTCCCCCCCCAATAAAAATTCTGTTATAGAATTCTTTCATTTTATCCTTAGTAGGTAAAGAACAAGTATTAATGGTGTGAATAAGTACAAGGTTTCAGCAGCTATACTACCGGGTTTGACTTTGCTAATTTCCTACTGAGCTACCATGGCGTTTGTACTTCACTCTCAAGTGCTGGCAGTTTCTCATGAAAACAGATGTGGGTGAAGTGGAGTTAAAATGCACAAAGCAATTAACCAGGGTTGGTACACTGAAGCTGTTTATTGACTACTAATGGATTTCATCCTATTTTACAAATCAAAAAACAAAATTCCCTCCCCGCAATACTGGTTTACAACCCCACCCCCGTGAAACAAGTTTTTAAAGGGTTCCTACCCTAAGTGATGACAGAACTGATATAAAAATTATTTTCCTTTCATACATCAACTTCAGTTCTCTACCTCTTTACAAATTTAGCATTAGTTCTTATTATAAGAGGCAGGGTAGGGAAGCGATAATCCAAATTAAGTAACTTGTCTAAGTTACATAGTGTTTATAAAATGTTTAATAGGATTTGACTCAAATCTGACTAACTCTCAACGGTCTTTGCCTTTTTTTTTTTTAAATTAAGCCAGACACTGTTATACTTAAAGATTATGGAGTATTAAAAAAATGCAAATTCGATATTATTTCTAGTAAACCAAAGAGGCAGAATTTATATAGCAGTGAGTTCATATTGAACTGGACAAAAATACATGAAATAACATTTCAGTTTATTGAGCCAATGATGACCAGAGACAAAGATGTCAAATTCTTTTAGTATGTGATTACCTAGCATATACCAGTTCAAGCTGGGCAAAGTCCTAAACCTTCCAATATGCCACAACATAGATAATAGGGCATATATAATAAAAATTGCAGAGATAATATCCTAGTGACACTGCATCCACAAATCCCCAAATACATAGCTCCAATACACGTATACCATCATTCATTTAATACACCCGAATGCAAAATCTGTTTGTAAAATTATATGGAATAATGTGGTTCTAAACCTCACGGCTGTTCTTAGAAAATGACCCTCAGGCTGCAACAACCATTTTCCCTAGGAAAATGTAATTTAATAAACTACCTTTCATGTCTAACCTCCTGGCCCTAATATTTAGGTCTGAGTTTTTAGATGATTATGTTAAAACTCTTGCTCTCTCTGGATTTCTGTTTGAGTTTTTAAATGACCAGTGAGAGAGATTAACAAAAAAGCACTCAAATTGTATGACTGTTGATCTAAAATGGGAACCTGAGACCAGAGCCAGGCACCTTAGGAAGAAATAGGGGTGGGTAACATCTGCTTATCAGCAAAGGAAATCAAGAAATGTTCTAGAAAGGAAGGTACCTAAGTCTGTTAAACAGGGTGGTGGTGTCTGTTTCTGGAGACCCCTGTATTGTACATTTACAGGCGAAGAACTTTGAGCCTTGTGGTGGCAGCCAATTCGTATTTTGCTGTAGGCAAAAAATAGCTTGTGAATCTGTGGAGAAACAGCAGTTGGAGAGAAAGGAAGGAACCTGATGAGTCTCTCATAGAGAGGAAACAGGGGAATCAACATTCCCAGTTATTAGGAAGAGGGGATGAAGCTCTGGGGAATCTGTGTCCCACTCACATAATTTAGTACTTTGCATGGAGGTGTCCAGAGGGGAGTCCCCAAGGTGAGGGAGGAAATTCTGGGAGAGAAAGCCCCTTTTTTGCACCAGTGTCTCTGGCAGGGGATTGTTTAGCGAGGCCTAGATGTAGCATAATTTCCTCTTCTGTCATCTTCTTACTCAATTGGTTTTAGAGTTTTCATTCTCTGATTGGAAGTTATCTTAAGCTAGACATTTCACCTCAGCAATTTCAGTGTCATCATCCATAAAACATGAGAAAACAACCTTGATCTGATGAGATGTTAAATTTCTCAAAGTCATAGTTCAGGTTTTTTTTTTTTTGGTGGGACTCGGGGTTTTGAACTCAGGGTTCACGTCTGCAAAGCAGGCCATTTACTGCCTTGAGCTATGCCTCCAGTTCTTATCCTCAGGTTTTTTTTCCTCATTTGTAATGCCATGGTGATTTTATTTTTTTTTTTTTATTATTCATATGTGCATACAAGGCTTGGGTCATTTCTCCCCTGCCCACCCCCTCCCTTACCCCACTCCGCCCCCTCCCTCTCCCCCCACCCCCTCAATACCCAGCAGAAACTATTTTGCCCTTATCTCTAATTTTGTTGAGAAGAGTATAAGCAATAATAGGAAGGAACAAGGGTTTTTGCTGGTTGAGATAAGGATAGCTATACAGGGAGTTGACTCACATTGATTTCCTGTGCATGTGTGTTACCTTCTAGGTTAATTCTTTTTGATCTAACCTTTTCTCTAGTTCCTGGTCCCCTTTCCTATTGGCCTCAGTTGCTTTTAAGGTATCTGCTTTAGTTTCTCTGCGTTAAGGGCAACAAATGCTAGCTATTTTTTAGGTGTCTTACCTATCCTCACCCCTCCCTTGTGTGCTCTCGCTTTTATCATGTGCTCAAAGTCCAATCCCCTTGTTGTGTTTGCCCTTGATCTAATGTCCACATATGAGGGAGAACATACGATTTTTGGTCTTTTGGGCCAGGCTAACCTCACTCAGAATGATGTTCTCCAATTCCATCCATTTACCAGCGAATGATAACATTTCGTTCTTCTTCATGGCTGCATAAAATTCCATTGTGTATAGATACCACATTTTCTTAATCCATTCGTCAGTGTGGGGCATCTTGGCTGTTTCCATAACTTGGCTATTGTGAATGTGCCAATAAACATGGGTGTGCAGGTGCCTCTGGAGTAACCTGTGTCACAGTCTTTTGGGTATATCCCCAAGAGTGGTATTGCTGGATCAAATGGTAGATCATGTTTAGCTTTTTAAGTAGCCTCCAAATTTTTTTCCAGAGTGGTTGTACTAGTTTACATTCCCACCAACAGTGTAAGAGGGTTCCTTTTTCCCGCATCCTCGCCAACACCTGTTGTTGGTGGTGTTGCTGATGATGGCTATTCTAACAGGGGTGAGGTGGAATCTTAGTGTGGTTTTAATTTGCATTTCCTTTATTGCTAGAGATGGTGAGCATTTTTTCATGTGTTTTTGGCCATTTGAATTTCTTCTTTTGAGAAAGTTCTGTTTAGTTCACTTGCCCATTTCTTTATTGGTTCATTAGTTTTGGGAGAATTTAGTTTTTTAAGTTCCCTATATATTCTGGTTATCAGTCCTTTGTCTGATGTGTAGCTGGCAAATATTTTCTCCCACTCTGTGGGTGTTCTCTTCAGTTTAGAGACCATTTCTTTTGATGAACAGAAGCTTTTTAGTTTTATGAGGTCCCATTTATCTATGCTATCTCTTAGTTGCTGTGCTGCTGGGGTTTCATTGAGAAAGTTCTTACCTATACCTACTAACTCCAGAGTATTTCCTACTCTTTCCTGTATCAACTTTAGAGTTTGGGGTCTGATATTAAGATCCTTGATTCATTTTGAGTTAATCTTGGTATAGGGTGATATACATGGATCTAGTTTCAGTTTTTTGCAGACTGCTAACCAGTTTTCCCAGCAGTTTTTGTTGAAGAGGCTGCTATTTCTCCATCGTGTATTTTTAGCTCCTTTGTCAAAGACAAGTTGGTTATAGTTGTGTGGCTTCATATCTGGGTCCTCTATTCTGTTCCACTGGTCTTCATGTCTGTTTTTGTGCCAGTACCATGCTGTTTTTATTGTTATTGCTTTGTAATATAGTTTGAAGTCAGGTATCTGATACCTCCAGCATTGTTCTTTTGACTGAGTATTGCCTTGGCTATTCGTGGCCTCTTGTGTTTCCATATAAATTTAACAGTAGATTTTTCAATCTCTTTAATGAATGTCATTGGAATTTTGATGGGAATTGCATTAAACATGTAGATTACTTTTGGGAGTATGAACATTTTTACTATGTTGATTCTACCAATCCATGAGCATGGGAGATCTCTCCACTTTCTATAGTCTTCCTCAATCTCTTTCTTCAGAAGTTTATAGTTTTCCTTGTAGAGGTCGTTCACATCTTTTGTTAGGTTTACACCTAGGTATTTGATTTTTTTTGAGGCTATTGTAAATGGAATTGTTTTCATATATTCTTTCTCAGTTTGTTCATTATTAGTGTATAGAAATGCTAATGATTTTTCTATGTTGATTTTATATCCTGCTACCTTGCTATAGCTATTGATGATGTCTAGAGCTTCTGAGTAGAGTTTTTTGGGTCTTTAAGGTATAGGATCATGTCGTCTGCAAATAGGGATATTTTGACAGTTTCTTTACCTATTTGTATTCCTTTTATTCCTTCTTCTTGCCTAATTGCTCTGGCTAGGAATTCCAGTACTATGTTGAATAGGAGTGGAGATAGTGGGCATCCTTGTCTGGTTCCTGATTTTAGAGGGAATGGTTTCAGTTTTTCTCCGTTAAGTATAATGCTGGCTGTAGGTTTGTCATATATAGCTTTTATAATGTTGAGGTACTTTCCTTCTATTCCTAGTTTTCTTAGAGCTTTTATCATGAAATGGTGTTGGATCTTATCAAAGGCTTTTTCTGCATCTATTGAGATGATCAAGTGGTTTTTGTCTTTGCTTCTGTTAATGTGGTTTATTACGTTTATTGATTTTCGTATGTTGAACCACCCCTGCATCCTGGGATGAAGCCTACTTGGTCGTGGTGAATAATCTTTTTGATGTTGTTGAATTCGGTTTGCCATTATTTTGTTGAGGATTTTTGCATCAATGTTCATTAAGGAGATTGGCCTATAGTTCTCCTTTTTGGAGGTGTCTTTGCCTGGTTTTGGGATAAGTGTAATACTGGCTTCATAAAATGTGTTTGGCAGTTTTCCTTCCCTTTCTATTTCATGGAACAGTTTAAGGAGGGTTGGTATCAGTTCTTCTTTAAAGGTCTGATAGAATTCAGCAGAGAATCCATCAGGTCCTGGACTTTTCTTTTTGGGGAGACTCTTGATTGCTGCTTCAATTTCATTTTGTGTTATAGATCTATTCAGGTGATTAATTTCCTCTTGGTTCAGTTTTGGATGATCATAAGTGTCTAGAAATCTGTCCATTTCTTTAAGATTTTCAAATTTATTTGAATATAGGTTCTCAAAGTAGTCTCTGATGATTTCCTGGACTTCCATGGTATTTGTTGTTATCTCCCCTTTTGCATTCCTGATTCTACTAATTTGGGTTTTTTCTCTCCTCATTTTAGTCAGGTTTGCCAGGGGTCTGTCCATCTTGTTTATTTTTTCAAAGAACCAACTTTTTGTTTCATTAATTCTTTGTATGGTTTTTTGGTTTCTATTTCATTGATTTCAGCTCTTATTTTTATTATTTCTCTCCTTCTATTTGGGATTTGCTTGTTCTTGTTTTTCTAGGAGTTTGAGATGTATCATTAGGTCATTGATTTGGATCTTTCAGTCAGTCTTTTTCTATATCATTCATGCTCATGGCTATAAACTTTCCTCTCAGGACTGCCTTTGCTGTGTCCCATAGGTTCGGTAGGTTGTGTTTTCATTTTCATTGACTTCCAGGAACTTTTTAATTTCCTCTTTTATTTCATCAATGACCATTGTTCATTAAGTAATGAGTTATTAGTTTCCAGCTGTTTGCATGTTTTTTGTCTTTACTTTTGTTGTTGAGTTCTAGTTTTATTGCATTGTGATCAGATAGTATGCATGGCATTAATTTCTGTTTTCTTATATTTGCTGAGGCTTGCTTTGTGCCCTAGGATATGATCTATTTTGGAGAAGGTTCCATGGGCTGCTGAGAAGAACGTATATTGTGTAGAAGTTGGGTGAATGTTCTGTAGATATCAACTAGGTCCATTCCATCTATGGTATATTTTAGATCTAGGATTTCTTTATTGATTTTTTTGTTTGGATGAGCTATCTATTGATAATGGGGTGTTAAAGTCTCCCATGACCACTGTGTTGGAGTTAATATATACTTTTAGGTCCTTCAGGGTATGTTTGATGAAACTGGGTGCATTGACATTGGGTGCATATAGGTTAATTGTTATTTCCATTTGGTCTATTTCCCCTCTTATTGGTATGGAATGTCCTTCTTTATCTCGTTTGATCAATGTAGGTTTGAAATCTACTTTGTCAGAGATACGTGCAAATAGGGTATTGTACACAAGATGAGAACTAAGCCACACAGTGTAAAACAGACATAGTCATCTAGGGCTACATGGACTTTGAATGGCTTATATAAATGTCTTGAGTTTACAAATTTGCCTTCTCAGAACCTATATACTTCAGAAGCATTTAACTGTCATCCCCAAAGTGTGTTTACTCATCCCTTATGTAGAAGAAAGAAACTCTCATTTAACTAAAACAGAAAACAAATTTGTTTGTTTTTAATGAACAGGGTAATATTGTTGGTCTTTATTCTGAAGATATGGCATGAAAATTAATGTACTCATAATAATCAGAGAGGAAGACTTTATGGTTTGTTGATTTTCTACATTATATATAGGTACCAGTGATTTGTGCCACTTTTATTTTTTCATATTTTTCCTCTTCTACAATTCCCCCATATTTGTTTTTATGTGAAGCTCTCATCATCACCACCGTGAAGCATTTTTATTCTTTTTTTTCTTCCACAACTCTGCTTCAAGATTTCTGTAACTCATTTGCAAGTGAGCTCACCAGGTAAGCTGAATTGACTGGAAGAGGAAGGGCTGTTAGAAAGTCGCTGTGTTGCTAAGAAGTCTTGCTAATTTGCTGTATAAACTGAATGGAGTGTCTCAGAGTTTCTCTCTTTCCCCACCTGGTTAACTTAGGTGATGTGTTTTGACCTGCATTAGTAATTCTATGTGGATGAATTAATTTAAGTTTGCAAATTTTAATTCATATGCATCTAATTATCCTGGTAAGCGTTCAACACATGTCTTCTCTTTATATTCCAATCTTTGAAGCCAATAACTAACTGCTGAAAGTGATTTAATGCAGCAGGAGAATACACTAACAATCATTATAGCCGGCAAAGTGTGTGGCCATCTCATCTAAGGACTGATGATGGTCATCAGATGAGACTCCACAAAAACCCGTTTTTCTATGATTAAAGAAATAGTGTAAAAGAGGGTGAGCTCTGGAGCAGCTCTCAGTTGTTTATCTGGTGAGAATTCATTTTGATAAGAATTCACTTGAAGTGTGGAAGGTCTATGCTTCCTTCTGAGAGGGATTGTTGAGCTTCATTCAGGTTTTTCCCTATCTGATAAAAACCCTTGCTGAGTGACAGCACAGACGTGGCTCATTTGAAGAAAACAAGGAAGAGTAGAAAAGAGCTGGGGTGGAGGAAGGAGTAGTCAGCGCCAAGCTTCCAGCCTTTCTTGGCTTCTCCTGGTATTTTCAGTCGCCTGAGTGTCCCAGGTGTGTGTCGCTTCAAATAGCTTGATGCCTTCGCCCCTTGCCCAACGCCACTACCTCTCTGGAGAGCTGTCCCCGTCGCTGGACTCCAGGCCTTGCAGCAGCCCTTTGGTGCTCCCAGGGAAGGCGGGGAAGCTAATGCCGGGGGTCACTCCTCCTCGGTCCCCACGACTGCCACGCCGGCTGGCCTGGTGCTCCATTGACTGGGAACAGGTGTGCTTGCTGCACAAGTTGGGAGCTGGAGGGTTTGGTTCGGTATATAAGGCGACTTACCATGGCTTTCCTGTGGCTATAAAGCAAGTGAACAAGTACACCAAGAATCCTCGAGCATCCCAGCGGAGTTTCTGGGCTGAGCTCAACGTTGCGAGGCTGCGCCATGACAACATAGTGCGGATCGTGGCTGCCAGCACGCGCACGCCGGCTGACTCAGATAGTCTGGGTGCCATAATCATGGAATTTGGAGGCAACGTCACCTTACATCAAGTCATTTACGGTGCCATCGACGACACTGAGGAGCAGGCGGGGAAGCCTCACCATGGCAATGGACAGCAATTAAGTTTGGGGAAGTGTCTAAAGTATTCCCTAGATGTCGCCAAAGGCCTGCTTTTCCTTCACTCACAAGGAGTTGTGCACTTAGATCTAAAGCCGGCGAACATTTTGGTCAGTGAGCAGGGTGTCTGTAAAATTGGTGACTTTGGTTGCTCCGAGAAGCTGGGAGATCTGCGGTGCTCCCGGGCTCGCCCCTACCCTCTAGGAGGCACCTACACCCACCGAGCCCCGGAGTTACTGACAGGAGCCACCGTGACTCCCAAAGCCGACATCTACTCTTTTGCCATCACGCTCTGGCAAATGGCCAGCAGGGAGGTGCCTTACTCGGGGGACCGGCAGTGCGTGCTCTACTCCGTGGTGGCCCACAACCTGCGCCCGTCTCTCGCCAAGGCCGTCTTCACGGACTCGCTCCTGGGGCAGAAGCTGCAGAGCCTCATCCCGCGCTGCTGGGCGGCGCGCGCTCCGCAGAGACCAAGTGCAGGATGCCTCGTGGCCGACCTGAACTGTTTAAACGCTGAGCTGGCTGACTCTAAACCTGTATCGAGATAAGTTTTCGCCTTTGTTTCTGTTTTTTTTTTTTTTTTAAAGAAATGAAAGTGTGGAAGAAAATACATTGGTTGGATAGGTTTTTCAAAATAAAGTTATTAAAAGTTCCTTGTCTGATTTTTTTCTAACATAACTTGCTACAAGTCTCATCATTGCCCAACTATAGCTAATCTTATTCCAAAGTAATAAGCCCATATAATGTGTGCATATATATACACATTCGCAGTACTGGATTGAATTTAAAGACTTGCCCTTGCTAGGCCAGTGCTCTACCACTCAGATCAGTACTATATCCACTTTAAATATTTCATATTTGATGTGGACCTCAGTTTATCTGCTGGGGTATTGACCCAGAAGCTTTTTAATATGATGCAATCCCATCCGTCAGTTCTTGCCCTTGTTGCCTGAGCTATTTGAGTCCTATTCAGAAAATCATTGCTTATGTGTTCATAATGAAGTCTTTTCCCTATGTTTTCCTTTAGTACTTTAAAGTTAAAGTCTCTGATTCATTTTGAATTGACTCTTGTACAGAGTGAGAGATAGGGATCTAGTTTCAGTGGGTAACCAGTCAGCCACTGTGCCCAGCCTCACATTTGTTCTTGATTTGGAAAAACTGGATTTTTTTTAAAAGAAAATGCCATTGAAGATATGCCAAAAATTTCTATAAATTCCCATCTGTGCCACCTAAATTCAAACTAAATGCTACTTGCTTTTAATTCATATCAAAATGTTATTTTTTCTTTCTTCCCCTAAGAAAAATTTTTAATGATGTTCTTATATAAAATTTAGAAGTAACTTTATTTTTAAAGAAATCATATCCCAAATGACTTGTAATCATTTACATTTGTACATTGTTAAGGACTTCCTGTTTTTGCTCATTTCTTCTTTTTTCCTCTACATTTTCCTTTTCTCCCTCTCTCACTACCTATCGAGCCATGAGGCTCCACATCCAGAGGCATGCAACACTTTTCTCCATTACATTTTATTTTTTGAAAAAATGGTCTTCAAATCCCCACTCTCTTGACTTTTTTCCTTTTTCTCATTTTTATTGTACAAAATGAGTTTTATTATAGTTTCATACTTGCATGCTATACACTTTGATTCTATTCACCCCCTTTCACCCTCCAACTGGGTTCCTTCTTTCCCCCAGTAGGCCCCTTCTGCTTTCACATCTTTTTTTCTATAATCTAAATTCCAAATATGAGAGAAAATATATATTTGTCTTTCTGAATCTGACTTATTTCACTTAACATGATGGTCTCTTATAGTTTATTTTCTTGCTTGCTCAAGGGTTCCTCATATGCAAGGTGGCAAAAGGGGGATTCCCTTGGCTGGTCCCTGTTTAGGGCATTTGTCACTGTTGTAAAAATGTAATTTTTAATCTTTAGTTTGATTTAGTATGATGACAACACCAGCTGTACAGAAAGGGCTCTGGAGAGATGGTCATAGGAGCGCATACTCTCTACTCTCCTTTGTTGTGGAGCCTCCAGGTTAGCTAATACTGCTTTGCAAACACATTCTTTAGGCCTTTCTGTGTGAGTGCAGAACACTGCTCATACCTGGCAGCCTGCAGATCATGTGCAGCTTTTCAATAGTCTCTGGAGTGATAGGCTTCTATTTATTAGTGGCAAGTTTCTTAACAGTGGAGGGTTCATTTCTGAGATCAATTTGGGTCCCAATGAGCAATAAAGAAGACTTTGGATAATGGGAAGTTATCTCAGGCATTAACTTGTTTTAAAAAATTTCAAATGGCGGACAGAGAGACCACTGAAAAACAGATTAGAAACACATCTGTTTGTGGATAATTCTGTGGTCATAATCTTAATCTTGTTCTGTAGTATCAAAAAATATAAGAGTATACAGCTCTCCACCAATCATAAGTGTGACTGCATAGTTATAAAAACAGTTGGTATTTAGTCAATTGGGAATTTGTTATGTAGGATATCAGGAGACATATTTTACCAATATCATTATAACCCACAAGAAGACTCTTAATTGAATTGTCAAAATAGTTTTGCATTCATTTTACATTTTAAATTTTATTTTTATTTATTTTGCAGTACTGGATTGAATTTAAAGACTTGCGCTTGCTAGGCCAGTGCTCTACCACTCAAATCAGTACTATATCCACTTTAAATATTTCAAATTTGATGTGGACCTCAGTTTATCTGCTGGGGTATTGACCCAGAAGCTTTTTAATATGATGCAATCCCATCCGTCAGTTCTTGCCCTTGTTGCCTGAGCTATTTGAGTCCTACTCAGAAAATCATTGCTTATGTGTTCATAATGAAGTCTTTTCCCTATGTTTCCCTTTAGTACTTTAAAGTTAAAGTCTCTGATTCATTTTGAATTGACTCTTGTACAGAGTGAGAGATAGGGATCTAGTTTCAGTGGGTAACCAGTTTTCCCAGCACCATTTGTTGAAAAGGCTTTCCTTTCTCCAGCATATGTCTTTGGCACTTTTATCAGTAATGGGATGGCTGTAGTTGCATGGGCTTATTTCTGAATCCTCCGTTAAATTCCTTTGGTCTACATGTCTGTTTTTGTGTCAGTATCATGCTGCTTTTGTTACTATATCTCTCTAGTATAATTTGAAGTCAGGAATTATTACTACCAACATTGCTCTTTTTGTTCAGTATTGCATTGGGTAATTGGGATCTTTTGTACTTCCATATAATTTTTAGTATTGTTTTTCTGTTTCCCTGAAGAATGGAATTGGAAATTTGATAGGAATTACATGGTATCTATAGACTACTTTCAGTAATATAGCCATTTTCACCATATTAATTCTTCTGATTCATGAACGTGAGAGGTCTTTTCATATTCTGGTGACTTCTTGAATTTCTTCAGTGTTTTATAGTTTTCATTGTAGAGGTGTTTTTACTTCCTTGGTTAGGTTTATTATTTTTTATCTTTTGAGGCTATTGCAGGTGGGACTATTTTCCTAATTTCTTTCTCAGCATGTTCTTCACTGCAGGTGCTAATTTTTGTATGTTGATTTTGTATCCTTCTACTGCTGAAAGTGTGTATCAGATCTAAAAGTCTTCTACAGGAATCTTTAGGGTCTTTTAAGTATAGAATCATATCATCTGCAAATAGGCATAATTTGACTTATTTTCCTATTTCATAGTGCTGTGATGAACATTAGTGTGCAAGTGTCTGTATTGTATCATGACTTACACTCCTTTGGATATACGCCCAGGAGTGATGTCACTGGCTCATGTGGCAGTTCTAGCTTTAGATTTTTGAGGACTCTCCATACTGCTTTCTGTAATGGTTGTACTAATGTGCCTTCCCACCAACAGCATATAAGGGTTCCTGTTTCACTGCATCCTTACCAGCATTTGTTGTTTGTTGTTGAATATAAATGTTCATATTCAAGGGCAAAAAGTGGGATGAAATTTTAGTGTAGTTTTGATTTGCATCTCTTTTATAGCCAAAGAAGTTGAACATTTCTTTATGTATTTATTAGACATTTGTACCTCTTCCTTCGAGAATTCCCTATTTAATTAATGTGCCCATTTCTGCATTGGGATGTTGGTTCTTTGGGGGTTGAGTTTTTTGAGTTCCCTGTAAAGTATGGATATTAGTCCCTATTGAATGAATAGCTGGCAAAGATTTTATTCCATTCTGTGGGCAGTCTCTTATTTGTTTCAGCCTACTAATTTTGGGTTTGACTTGTTCTTGTTTTCTTAGCTTGAGATGCATTGTTAGGAGCTTGAGATCTCTCTGATTTTTTAAAAATGTAGGTGCTCATAGCTATAAACTTTCCTCTTAGTGATGCCTTTACTGTATCCCAAAGATTACTTCAATTTTCTTGCTTTTGTAAAGACCTACTTTATGTCCTAAAATATCTATTTTGGAGAAAGTCTGTGGGCCACTGAGAAGCATGTGTATTGTGCAGCTATTGGGTGAAACATTCTGTAAATATCTGTTAAATCCATTTGGTCTATAGTGTCATTTGATTCTGAAGTTTCTTTGTTGAAGTTTTGCTATTGGTGAGAGTGGGGTATTGAAATCACACATTATTATTGTGTTGGGTTCTACATGTGTTTTTATATCTAGTAGTGTTTGTTTTATGAAATTTGGAGTGCTGACATTTGGTACATAAATATTTGCAATCGTTAATCTCTTCTTGATGGATAGTTCCCTTTATCAATAATATGAACTGACATTTTTTTTTGTGTCTTATGACTAATTTTGGCTTGAAGTCAGCTTTGTCAGATGAGTATAGCTACTCCTGCTTGCCTGCAAACTCCATTTGACTCAAATATCTTTTTCTGTCCTTTTATTCTAATCCTGTTTTTTGTCTTGCCTATGAGCTGTACTTCTTGTAGCAACAAATGGTTGGGGCTTACTCTTTTATTCCAACCTACCCGTTTATTTCTTTTGATTGAAGAATTAATGCCATTACATTCAACGTTGCTATTGAAAGATACATAGTAATTCCTGCCTTTTTGTTGTTTTTGTAACATTTGTTTCTTTCCTAATCCTCATTTGCTTATCTACTCATCTGTAGGATTTATCCTTTCCAATATTTTCCTGGTTGCATTTATATTCCTCTTTTGTGTATAGGATTCCTTTAAATATCTTCTGCAGTGCTGGTTTAGTGGTCATTAATTTCTTTAGTTTTTGCTTATTGTTAAAGATTTGTTTCTCCTTCAGTCATGAAGGATAGCTTTGCTAATCTAGGTTGGCAGTTATTTTCTTTCAGGACTTGAAATATATCATTCTATGCCCTCCTTGCTTGTAGACCTTCTATTTAGAAATATGCTGTTATTCTTATGGATTTGCCTTTATCGATGACTTGTTGCTTCTCTCTTGCAGCTCTTATTCTTTCTTGTTCTATATATTTAGTGTTTTTAACTATAATATGTGTTTGGGAAGTTCTTTTCTGATCTTGTCTGTTTGGTGTTCTAAAAGCTTCCTGTACTGGATAACATCTCTTTATCAAGATTGGGGAGTTTTCTGCTATTATCTATTCCTTTATGTTGGGGGGGGGT